ATCCCTTCCCCTTGAGAATCATGTCCCCAATTGTACTTTAGTTTTTGTTTTTCAAACAATTACTTCATTAAAAAATATATATACTAATCATATTTGAGAATGAAATATATTTATTAACAGAAAACTTGTACACATGTAATATTTGTTTAAAAAAGAAAATGTATATATGAGTATATATCTCTTGGGCATAACAGGAAGAACTTGCTAACATTCACTGCTTCTTCATAGGAAGCGACTTAAGTAGCTACAGGACAGGGGCAGCAGCCAGACTTTTCACTATACATTGTTTTTGTACTTTATAAACTTTGAGTCATTTTATTGTACCATCTACTGAAAATAAATAAAAAGAAAATTTAAAATATAAGATCTTTTTGTCCATAAAAAGTCCAGCCATTGTTAATATAACAAGAATGGTTTACACAACATTGATGTAACCTGGCAACAGAGGAGAATGAAGTAAATGCACATGAGTGGACAATAACGACTTCACTGCACTAGTTAGTGGGGGCAGCAGATACTGTTGAGTGAGCATGTGTACTGTGTGGCTGTCGCATTTGAAACAACTGAGCAAGTGAAGCAACAAATCTGCATCAAATTTTGTCTTAAACTTGAATATTCCTCTGAAGAAACTATTCAAATTCAGAAGGCCCCAGCTATGAGCAACTGGTGATTGGCAGCTTCATCACAACAACATGCCAGCTCATGCATCACATCTCGTGCAGAGAGTTTTTGGTGAAACATCAAATCACCCACGTGACTCAGCCCCCTGCAGCCCAGATTTGGCACGTTATAACTTCTGGCTTTTCCCAAAACTAAAATCACCTTTGAAAGGGAAGGGATTTCAGACTGTCCATGAGATTCAGGAAAATAGGATCAGGAGCTGATGGTGATTGGGAGAACTGTGTGAGGACCAAAGGTGCCTACTTGGAATGAAGTGTCATCCCAAGTTTTCATTACAAGAAACACTCCACTGTTTCTTGTATTGTATCTTCTTCAATAAATGTCTCTATTTTTCATATTACATGGCTGGATACCTTCTAGACAGACCTCATATATAAGATGAGAAATATAGGACAATGAAAACAACAACTATAGAGGACATTTTTGGGACAATTGAGGAAATCTGAATATGGACTATATATTAGATGATGGTAAAAACCAGTGTTCAACTTTCTGTGTGGAAACTATATTATAGTTTTGTATGGTTCTTAGAAGGTACAACCTGAGTATTTAGAAGTGAAGTGTCATTATGCTTCCATTTGACTTCCAAAAACTCAGGAAAATAAAATCTTATAAAGAGAGATAAAGCAAGTGTGGCAAAATTTTAATAATAGTGAATCTAGGTAAAGGATATGTGTTCACTGTACAATTCTTTTCAGTAACAGTGTTACTAGTATTTAATTCAAATATGCAACATACACTTTTAAAAAGTATAAAATTCAATGGTTTTAATAAATTCAGAGTTGTATAACCATCACCACTTTCTAATTTTAGAACAGTCTCATGACCCCCAAATGCGCATTAACAGTCACTCCCCATTGTCCCTTCCCACCCTCCAACCCCTGGCAACTATTTTCTGTGTCTATAAACTTGTAATCTACTTTGTGGGTCTATGACTTTGCCTATTCTGGATATTTCATATAAACAGAATAATACAATATGTGATCTTTTATGACTAGCTTCCTTCGTGTAGCACAATTTTACAAGGTTCATCCATGTTGTAGCATATTTCATTACTTCATTCCTTTTATTTGCCAAACAATACCCTGCTGTATGAGTATACCACATTTATTTATCCATTCATCCATCAGTTGATGGACATTTGGGTTGTTTCCACCTTTTGACTACTATCTGTAATGCTGCTATGAACATTCACATCAAAATTTTCATGTGTAGACATATGTTTTCATTTTGTATTTTTCTTTGGGCATATACCCAGCAGTGGAATTACTGGTCATATTATAACTCTATGTACGTTATACTATTTTTGCAACTTTCCTGTGGGATTCAGAATTTCAAAATAGCCCTGGCTGGTGTGGTTCAGTTGGTTGGAGCATCATTCCATAAACCGAAAGTCATGGGTTTGATTCCCGGTCAGGGCACATGCCTGAGTTGTGGGTTGTTCCCCAGTCGGGTCATGTGCAAGAGGCAGCCAATTGGTGCTTCTTGTCTTCTCTCTCCCTTTGCCTTCCCCTCTCTAAAATCAATAAGCATGTCCTTGGGTGAGGATAAAGAAAATTTCAAAATAAAAAATTTAGGAGAATACTTTATAAAAGAAGCATATAATAATATATTAACCAAACTACCTTGTGCTCAGAGAGAATATGTACATTTCATGATTATATGCGGCACACAACTTGTACTCCTTGCAGGAACATAGTAAGTGCTTGCACTGTTTTTCATCTTACTGTGACAGACTATTACTTCATAATCTTACTTTGTCTTATTATTTATTCAATAAATAAAATTGATCTTATTTATTGACTTGCAAAATTATCAATAGATAAAGCATTTATCTGGACTGGATCAAAATCATCTCACTATTTGACACAGCAATAATGCATACAGAATATGAGCTCTGTGGTCATGGAGAAGTGGGTTCAAACATAAGTTGCATGACTCTGGAGCATGCTTAACTTCTCTGAGACTCCACAGAAGGAAAACTATCTGCACCTATACTTCAAAGCAGATATCATATACAGGGTCTTACCCAGTGCCTGGCACACAGTAATTGCTCAACATGTGCTAGTTTTCTTCAAAACAGCTCTATATAAATACTTCCCCTTTTCCCAAGAGCTTAAAAATCAATCGCTGCTGTGACTACAGAAACGCTGATGTTAGTTTTGAAAGCAAAAAACAATGTTTAGTCCTCTATACAGATAACCTCCAATTGTCTTCTCTGTTTCTGCCTTTTCATGTGAACTTTACATGCCCATTCCCAACAGCCTACTGAATCTCTTTAAAATTCTGCTAGCAATTTAAGCTCAACTTGCTCCAAATTTTGCTTACTGCCTTCCTCCTAAGCCAGTCCCTCTTGACTTCTCAATCCTGTAAATGACTGTATCATTGGAGGTGCAAAACCTCTGAATCACTTTGGACAGAAACTTCTCATTGCTCCCACCACCTGTTGCCAAGACTTACAGACTTGTCTTGTCCTCATCTCTTTCCCACTGTTGTGCAACCATGAGGCCCTACTATGCTGATCAGATTACTGCGCTGGCCTACTAAGCTAACCTTCCCTCCTACAACCGCTCTCCCCTTATCATCCCATCCCATCCCATCCCCCATACCAGTGCCTTAGTAATCAGTCCAGGATAAAGATGAGAACACAACACTCCAGGAGGCAAAAACCTTTCATGGTTCCATGCTATTTACCAATTACTCACTTTTTTATTTGATAAATAGCTATTGGGCACCCACTATGTGCCATGGAATTCACATTCTAGTTGTGAGAAAAAACACCCTGAGCAAATAACAGTAATTTCAGATTGCAATAAGGAATGTGAAGAAAATAAATCAGGGAACAGAATAGTGACAAAGGGTAAGATAAAAAGAGAAGGCTTCCCTGACATTTGAACTGAGGCTTAAATGATGAGTAGATAGCCACACAAGAGTATTTCAGGAAGAGAGCCCAGCAGGTACCGAACCTCTGAAGCCTTTAAGTGTTCTGAAATCACCTTCTTGTCTTAAAGCATCTGCTCCCTTTTTTCCTACCTTTGTCTTCCAGACCCTACCTGCCCTTAAAAGTCATCTCCAATTCTACCTACTCCATGAAGCCTCTTAATCTCCCCACCACTTTGCCTCCTTTCCCCAGTCCATTGGTCAGATGAGTATTATCCTTCATTTGGGAATGTAAGTTAACATATCTACCTTTCTGTTTTAAGCAAACATGTATGAACTCATATATCCAAAAGAGTGGTATCCTTCAAAGTAATCACTTTCCACTTAGTCCATCACAAAAGTACTCAGCACCTACTAAGTGCAAGACAGCAGGCCAGGCTCCATAGAACCAAAAATAAAACTGGGTTATTCACATCAGTGATGTTCACAACACTTCTTAAATTCCTTTGGTATCGCCTTTAGGATCAGGCAGTGAGAAATACCTTATAATTAGTCTCATTTATTTGTAAGTAGCAGTTTTCTTCAAATACAAGTTTTTTAGTCAATCAATATCTTTCTTTAAAAAAATTAAATTGGATACAAATAATTTTCTGACCATCAAAAAAAAAAAACAAAAACCCTTAAATATGACCTGCTCAGAAGCACTGATACCTACCTCCACTATGATGAAATTTAAAACAAAGCCAAGCCCTGGCTGGTGTGGCTCAGTGGATTGAGTGCCAGCCTATGAAACAAAGTGTTGCCAGTTCAATTCCCAGTCAGGGCACATGCCCAGGTTGCAGGCCAGGCCACCGGTGGGGGTCGTGCAAGAGGCAACAACACATTGATGTTTCCCTCTTTCTCCCTTCCATTTCCCTTTCTCTAAAAATGAATAAATAAAATTTTTTAAAGGAGCCAAAATGAGGCCATAGGCACCAAAAGCAATTATACAGGAGCTTCGAACATGTGTAGGTAACTGGTACATAAGAGGAGTAAGTGGATTATTCAACAAGGTGATTACTTTGAAGGGGCATTTAGTTGAATAGTGGTTTGTTAAAAAGTCACATTATTTTATATACAATACTCTTGTTGTTGTATGAACTCTTTCATAAACACCAAAATCAGTTATAATACATCTCTTAAAGGGTTATTTCACTATTGGTCTTTCGCTATTGCTTAGAGAAGTATCTATTTAGGATGGGGTTAACTAAGCCCAATAAAGGTGCCTAATGTATTCCTGTTGATTAATTCATGTGAACAAAATCTAACACGGCTATTCTCCTTTGTTTTTTCATTGCAAATTTTCATAAAAGTATGGTGAAAGCGTAGGGTCTGTGTGGGATTCAGAGACCGCCACATCCTATCCCTCCTCCCCTCCCTCCCTCCTCACCTACACTGACCTGGAGCTGTATTTCTTGAGGATGGTGTCCAAAAGGCCAACGAGCTCTTCAGCACTGATAAACTTCTGGGTGCTGAGGGTGTACATCTTCTCATAGAAGTCTGCAATCTCCATCCTAGCCTGAACGAAGAAGCAAAGCTGCTCTGACAGGTGGGAAAGGAGTTCTTCCACATGAGCGCTCCCACCCAGGGCACCACGGCCAGTCACCACTTTCTTCAGCTCATTATGCAGGGAAGTATATATGGTTCGAATGGAATCCTTCCTGCTGAAGAAAGACTGGCCCCCTGGAAAGCAAATAACATAAGCACATGACAGGTAAAGAAGAGAAACCAGAAGCACAAAACACCTCCCAGCACCCAAAAGGAAAGGATCTGAACCTCCTGAGCTCAGTGAGTTTTCATCTACCATATTCTATGACTTCCGTGACTGAGATTTAAATATTTTGCAGTTGATAAGTTCACTGAAGAGTAAGTTAAACCATGCCTGATACAACTCATTAGTGTAGCAAGGGACCTGTGTTTGATTTCCTTACCCATGCACCAACTCTCCCCCACCGCACTTTAATGAGGATTCAGACTCATTTCAGAGAATAATTAACCTAGATATAAAAAGTCCTACTTCCACATAAATATATTTAAAACAAGTGAGAACACCTGATTATGAAACACTGTTGTTATTCCTGGTAAATCAGAAAATTTTATTTCTGCTGTAGAGTTGCACTTTCCTTTGAATCTTATCTTTTAAGCCAACTTTTAATCTTATCTTTCAAACCACAAAATGGAAAACACACATTATCTCTCCCTTACACAAGAACACAGACTACTGGGATCTCAGGGGAAAAAAGGAAAACTTAGTACTCTTGACAAAGTTGACAAAATAGGTTTTAACATAATAAGCAGCACATTGTGAGTCATTAAGAGCAACAAGCAATTATAAATAACTGCTGCTGTAACTCAGGGTTTTCAAAGGAAATCAGTAAAATATAAAGCCAAATATTGTACATCCTTTTCTTTTTCTTTCTTTTTAATCCTCACCAGAGGGCATGTTTTTACTGATCTGTGTGTTTAAAGAGAAAGAAATACTGATGTGAGAAAGAAACATCAATCGGTTGCCTCCCACATATGCCCTTGCACCCACAATCCAGGAATGTGCCCTGGTCAGGAACTGAACCCACAAACTTTTGGTGCACAGGACAATGCCCAAACAACAAAGCTACCCTGCCAGGGCCAAATACATCCTTTTCAACAATCAAAAAGGGTCAAATGGCAGAGAATCATTTCCTTCTATATTAATACACAATCACCTACATTTCTCCATGTGATCTCTATTTCTGTAAATCTGTTCCTGTTCTAGCTGTTTAGTTTGTTTTTGTTGTTTTTAGGTTCAGTTGTTGATAGTTGTGAGTTTATTGTCACTTTACTGTTCATAATTTTCATCTTTTCCTTAGATAAGTATCTTTAACATTTCATTTAATAATGGCTTGATGATGATGAACTCCTTTAATTTTACTTTATCTGGGAATCACATTATCTGCCCTTCTATGCTAAATGATAGCTTTGCTGGATAGAGTAATCTTGGATGTAGGTCCTTGTCTTTCATGACTTTGAATAGTTCTTTCCAGCCCCTTCTTGCCTGCAAGGTTTCTTTTGAGAAATCAGTTGACAGTGTTATGGGAAATCCTTCGTAGGTAAGTCTCCTTTTGCAGTTTTTAAGATTATCTCCTTATCATTAATCTTGGGTAACTTAATAATGGTGTGTCTTGGTGTGTTCCTCTTTGGGTCCAATTTCTTTGGGACTCTCTGGGCTTCCTGGAAGTTAATTTCCTTTGCCAGAGTGGGGAAGTTTTTCTTCATTATTTGTTCAAGTAAGTTTTCATTCTCTTGTTTTTTTCCTTCTGGTAGCCCTATGATTTGGATGTTGGAACATTCAAAGTCATCCTGGAGATTCCTAAGCGTCTCATTTTTTTTGAATTCTTCTTTCTTCATTCTATTTCAGTTGAATGTTTATTTCTTCCTTCTGCCCCAAACTGTTGATTTGAGTCCTGGTTTCCTTCCGTTCACTGTTTGTTCCCAGAACATTTTCCTTTCTTCCACTTTTCATAGCCTTCATTTTTTCCATGTATTTTTCAACCATACTCAACCATTTCTGTGAGCATCCTGATTACCAGTGTTTTGAACTCTACACCTGATAGGCTGGCTATCTCTTCACCGCTTAGTTATTTTTTCTGGAGCTTTGATCTGTTCTTTCATTTGGGCCATTTTTTTTGGCACGGGGCAGGGGGGTCTTGGCATGTCTGTTACATAATAAGGGGCAAAACCTCAGGTATTCCCCAGGGTGGGGCTACCCACCTTGCTGTATGTGGGGAGGGATCCAAGAAGGAACAATTTGCCACTTCCTCAGCTCCTGGCTGGCTTTCAGTAACTTCCCCCGCTAACCACAAGCAAATTGGCCCTTCTGGGGCTGACTCCCAGTTGGGTGGGTTTTTGTACATTCTAGGACCCTGTGGGTCTCTCCAACAAACTCTCCTGTGAGGCTGGGAATTTCTCCTGCTGCTGCAACCCCCAGGGGTTTTTCAGTCAGAGGTTTTGAGGTTTTATTTCCCGGTGCTGAAACCCTGGGTTGCTCAGTCTGTCTCATTCCCCAGTTGTTCCTCTTAGTATATCTGCACACAAATGTGGGATTGCCGCTCCAGTCCTCTAGCTGCTGCCTTGCTGTGAATCCTCTCCACCCCAGCAGCTTGTCTCCACCCCTCCTACCGGTCTGGATGAATGTTTCTTCTTTACCTCCTTGGTTGTCAGACTTCCATACAGTTTGATTTTCTGGCAGTTCTGGATAAATTTTGCTTTCAAATTTGTTGTTGTCCTTCTTTTGGTTGTGCAGTGAGGCAAAGTGTATATACCTCCACCTCATCTTGGCCAGAAGTTCCAAATTTTTTTTAACAGGGGTCCATAAATATACTTTAGGAAATCCAAATGAATCCTCTCAGAGTACATACAAAATTGTATTACATATATATTGTTTCAGAGAGTTAAATCGACAGGTTAATTAAATTATCATAGATAAGCTAAAAAAAAAAGTTAAGAATCATGGCCTGAGATCAATCACCACACTTCATGAGGAACGAGACTCTAAAAACAACAAAAACTAACTTCCAGTCAAGATGGCAGCATAGGCAGGCATGGCTCAACTCTTTGCACAACCACGTCAACATTACAACTAAAACACAGAAAAAAACATCACTCAGAACCCTCAGAAATTGAGTTCAATGTAAGATAGACAACTATAAAATCAAGTTGAATGAAGTCTGAGAACTACAGAATTAAAGAAACTACATCCATCCAGACTGGTAGGAGAGGTGCAGACATAGAACAGGCTAGTCCCACACCTACGTGTGGTGGATAAAAGTTCAGGGGGGATACCTCAGGAGCAAGGAGTCCCAGCCCCATACCAGGTGCCCCAGTCCAGGGTTCCAGTGCCAAGAAAATAAGTCCCCATTAACTTCTGGCTGCAAAAACCAGCAGAGATTGAGTCAGTGGAAGAAACTGCTAGAGCCCAAAACAGTTCCTCTTAAAGAACCCACACAGAGACTTACCTACTCAGACTCACTCCCTCTGAGTTCCAGCATTGGGGTAGCAGCTTGAAAGGTACCAGTGGTATAAACTACAGTGGTCTGCCATCAAGGCAAGGAGAGGCCATTGGCTCTTTTATAAACCCTCCACCCACAGAGCTGGCAAGCTGCTGCAATACCCGAGACTCAACCTAGCAAACACTGTTTGAACTGCCTTAGAGATCCCCAGAGACTCTACCCAACCCAACTTATGGGCCCACCCAAGCTGCTTTTCCATATGAATGGCTGGTCTTGGCTCCTGCTTTACAACTCCCCTAAATCCTATCAAATAAGCAACAGCTGGCCTCAGTGAGCCCCAGGCCTGGCACTAGCAGCAGCTAGCTTAGATTCATAGCTTGGCTTTGCCTGGGAATTTCCAAGCCCAGGACAAGTAGCAGCCATCTCACATTGCTTTATAGCTCAAGCAGAGTGCCCAAGGCAAAACACAGGTAGGGGCTGACTTTAGCCTGCACCACCTAGTAAACCCCAGCACAGACCACATCAGAGCACCACCACCCTGCCCCTGCACAGAGGACCCTCTATGGAGGGTCGAAGTGGTGGTCAGTGGTCACGGCCAGTCCTTGCAGCTGATTGGCTTGGGAAATCCCTCCCGTTGATCTGCCAAGAGCAACCAAGGCTCAACTGCAAGAGGTGGGTGTACTCAGCCCACATGTAAGGCCCAGCTTGGGTGACAGGAGAGGCTGTGCCACTGGACCCTATAGGACACCTACTACATTAAGCCACCCTACCAAGACATGGAGTCAAAGCAGCTCTACCTAATACATAGAAACAAACACAGAGAGGCTGCCAAAATGAGGAAACAAAGAAACATGGATCAAATGCAAGAACAGATTAAAACTCCAGAAACAGAGCTAAACAAAAGGGAGATAAGCAATCTCTCAGGTGCAGAGTTCAAAACACTGGTTGTAACAATGCTCGAGAAACCTAGAGAGGACCTCAGCAGCATAAAAAAGATCCAGTCAGAAACCAAGGATACACTAATGGAAATAAAAAACAATTTACAGAGAAACAACTGTAGAATGGATGAAGCTAAGAATCAAATCAATGATTTGGAACGTAAAGAAGCAAAAAACAAGCAATCAGAACAAGAATAGAAAGAATCCAAAAAAAATGAGGATAGTATTAAGCAGCCTCTGGGACAACTTTAAGAGGTCCAACATTTGCATCATAGGGGTGCCAGAAGAAGAGAAAGAGCAAAAAATTGGAAATCTATTTAAAAAAATAATGAAAGAAAACTTCCCTAATTTGATGAAGGAAATAGACATGCAAGTCCAGGAAGCACAGAGAATCCCAAACAAGATGAATGCAAAGAGGCCCACTCAAAGACACATCATAATTAATATGCCAAAGGTTAACGATAAAGAAAGAATCTTAAAAGCAGCAAGAGAAAAGAAGTTAATTACCTACAGAGGAGTTCGCATAAGACAATCATCTAAGTTTTCTAAAGAAACTCTGCAGACTACAAGGAATTGGCAAGAAATATTCCAAGTCATGAAAAGCAGGGAACTACAGCCAAGACTGCTCTACCCAGCAAAGCTATTGTTTAGAATTGAAGGACAGATAAAGAGCTTCCCAGACAAAAAATACTAAGGAGTTCTTCATCACTACACCTTATTATGTTAATAATTTATGTTATGTTATGTAATTTATGTTATAATATTTTAATATTATGTTATTAACATAATAATGGTGTGATGAAGAACTGTTAAATGTTAAAGGGACTTATTTAAGAAAAAGAAGATCAAAACAATGAAGAATAAACTAGCAAAAACATACAAATGTACCAACAATTAAATGTGAAAAGCAAACTAAGCAAGTAAGAATAACAGAGACACAACCATGGATAAGGAGGATATTTTGATTATTGCCAGATGGGAGGGGTGTTGGGGAGAATGGGTGAAGAGGTGAGGGGATTAGGAAGTACAAATAGGTAGTTACATAACAGTCATGGGATGTAACATACAGGATAGGAAATGGAGTAGCCAAAGAACTTATATGCATGACCTATGGACATGAACAGTGGTGGAACAATAGCCTGAGGTAGTGGAGGGTGCTGTGTGGAGGTGGGCAAAGTGGGAAACATCAGGACAACTGTAATAGCATAATCAACAAAATATAATTTAAAAATAAATAAAAATAAATAAAAACTAAAACTGCCAGAAAATTACCCACCTTCAATTTTACAATCAGAATCCTCCCCATTTACATATATATGTAAATTGTAATGCATGTACAGCTTTTTTATAAATTATGGATACAACACAATCTGACAATTCAAAAGCAGGTATTTTGGTTTGGGTTCTGTTACTCACACAACAGCACATACACCATTTGCCAATCTATAGAAAGGAAAATAACACTGCAACAGCAATGGCAAATTTGTGAGACATGACACTGTAAAAAGGGAAAGAAAAAATGCACAAAGTGAAAACTATCTGATCAGTTTTTGCCAGTAAATCAACATACTAAGTAACAACTTATTTGAATGGCTAAGGCAGAAGTTTAGATCTCAGAAAGCTTTGCCCCTTGAATGTTTACTGAAAGGTAGATATACACACATGGTCACCTTCAGGCAATATAAGGAACTGGCAGTGAAGAAGAATCAAAATGTGATCTGCACTCAATTTTACACTATTCTATAGCGTATACTTGTGTCCTTCATTCACACCAGAATCTGTGCCTCCGACAATTAAGGATTTAAAATAGACCAAAGTACTTACGGTAAACAACTGTAAAAGATCTGGGATCCATATTTATTATTGATAATTATAAGCAGTAATACCTTGTATGCATATAGCCCTTGGCTTTCACATATATTATTTCCTTCTGATCTACTTAGACTGTTTCTACCAGTGAAAAATCAATTGAATCTACTGTTGCATTTTATTTTCAAGGACAAGATTTATCATGGGATGATAAGAGTGTACTGTTTTACCTGTAAGTTCCCTCTTGCTAGTAGTGCCAGGCATATTTCTTGCCTCTCCTGTCCCGTATTCATTTACTTCTTCATTCGTTAAATATTTATTAACGGCCTAGGAAGAGGGGATAGGACTACATCTGTAACTCTCAGGTCCCTAACCTTTCAAGAGGCCACACAGTTGTGTTCATTAACTCTAACTAGATTGTATTGCCAAGTTTTGTTTCTCTGGCCGCAGTGTTACTGGTTAGAAGAGCGAGGACATAAAGTTTGCTTAACTTCTCATTTACGGCACCAAATCCATGCAGTGGGCAAAACAGAGACATCCATCAGTTTGGGGCACAGCCCTGCAAAGAGCATCCACCCCATCCGCCAATCTATCCGCAGAAGAGGCCGGTGGGCGGGGTTTGTGGAAGCCGAGGGAAGGAAGGGAACTGTGGGAGGAGAACTGGGAGTGCCTAGTTGAGCTTGCAACTAGAAGTGACAGAAACGGGAAACCCAAGCCACTGCCAGCCGGGGAATAGATCCCCTTTCCTTCCTCAACAAGGGTCACGGGGAGGCGGGGCGGAGGTACCTAGTTTCTGCCCCAGGTAGGTGAGGCTGTGATAGACCTTCTCGGCCGCGGCCAGGTGGGCCAAGGCCGCCAGCAGCGACAGCCAGCTGCCCCCCGCGCTCTTGTTGGCCTCGCGTTCCTTCTCCACATTGTCCTTGGCCTTGTCGTAAGAGAAGATACCCAGGTGAGAGAAGAATGTCTCCAGCACAGCCTGTTCCACCGGGACCGGGGCGGCCAGCGGGATAGACTCCCCCATGCGAGCTGCGCTCCAGTTCCACCCACGTGGCTGTGCTCTCCCTCGCACTTCCGGGTTCTCAGGGAACGTGCGCACAAGCGTGCGTGTTCGTGACTGCCGCAAGCGGCGGGCTCGCGAGCGCGCCGCTGCCTAGTTCGCGCCTGGGCCTCAGAGAGGAGGCGGGTCAGAGCCAAGGAAGAAAGTGGTGGCTCCTCAGCTCCTAAGCAGCTTCAGCGCTTCAATTCCCGCACATCTGAGTATTCCGAACCTCAGGGCAGGAAGTGTGGTGGCCAACTCGCAGCTCCACGGAGCTGACCGCGTCCTGAGGTGAGCTCAGAGGCCCCTCCCGTGAGACTGCGTCTGTGCTGATGACGTCACGTTTACATGACGTCAGTAGTTCCTAGCCAAACATCTGGCCTTGGCTCTCCTTGGACCGGAGGGGCGGGGCGAGATTGTGAGACTCCTGGGTGGAGCTATGCTCACTTACCGTGACAAGGAGTCAGTCGTCAGAGCTTTTAAACCACCTCTTGTTCATGGCTTATAGATTAGAAACCTGACGTAGGTGGCGGTTTATATCTTATCAACATGTCTAATTTTTACCCAGTCACAAACTCAGGGTGTATTCTCACCTGTATCCCGTTCTAGTCATAGGTTCGTGCTAAGGAAACAGCTTCGGCTTGACCATACTCCCTAAACTACGTTCGGCATCTTTAAAAAGGTCTCAGTATGAAGGATAAATTAATGTAACTTCCGTTAAAAGATCTGAATTCATGCACTTCGTCATTCAGATTAACTACAAGTTCCTTTCACATTTAAAAAACACCATACACCCAGCATATAGGTGTGTCTAGTACTCAGCGAGTTTTTCCTTTTTCTTTTGTACATGCTGTATTTATACTACCTAATCACACCTATAGGTATTTAATCACCTGTATTTTCACATGTCCCTTTTACTTACCAAGTGGTGAACTCCCTAAGACAGAATATAAGGTTCACTCACCTTTATTATCTTTCCATGATGGATAGCACAGTGATGTTTATTGAACAAATGAGAGAATTTTCTCTTTTCATTCTTTGTCAAACTAGAGCTATTTTGCCATTACTGCCTTTTAATGCGAATCCCATAGCTTAATTATAATGAATGGGAGTATATATTATACCTATTCCTTGCTCTCAAGAATATAATTGGGTAGGATCAACCCTGTTGACTGTGACACAAGGCAGAATTTTATGTATTATAAAGGTGAAAAAGGAAGCACTAACCGACTGAGCCACCCTACCAGGGTGAGAATGTGATGGCTATGAATGAGAGAGTAGAAGCCAATAAAAAAAAAAACAAACAAACCCTGTGCTAGCACCAAAACCAACAGGTAATGAAAGAGGATTATCAAGCTCATAAACATACCCAAGTAACATAAGAATTCCTTAGATAGTAAAGGTGGCACCATGATTTATGAATCAGTGGAGGAAGGAAAATTTATTCAATTAATAGTGAAGGAGACATGATTATGCAAAAAAATCCCTTTATCCTGTATTCTGCAACAAAGAATAATTATATGTGTAAAGAAAAAACTAAACCACAAACAAATTATAAAAAGTACAAGTGAAAATTTAATTATCTAGGGATAGAGAATAACCTTTTATTTATAAAATTAGAAAAAATTACAAAGGAAGAGATTGACTAGACTATATAAAAATAACAGGAAAACACTATACCAGCCTGGGGAAAAGCTATTTGTAATATGTCAGACAAAGGTTTAATATGGTTAACATATTAAGAACTAGCGATCATAGAAATGCAAATTAAACTATTCTGTTTTTCACCTATCATATTTTTTAAACTGTTTTTAAGTGCTAGTAAACATAGAGTGAGACTGTTCTTATTATTGCAGATGGGTGTATAACTTGGTGTGACCCTTCAGAAAAACATTTGACAATACAGTATATATTAAGATGAAATGAGAATACAGGTACAGTGTCTAGAACAGTGTCTAAGACAAAGTAGCTGCTTAATAATACCTATCATTGTTGTTACTATTATTGTTATTTTCATTAGCATCATACCTTTTAATAAGCAGAGTACCTAGAATAATACTTTGAAATTAATAGATGTTTACTAAATATTTGATTGGCTGATTCTTCTTGTCTCCTAAGAATTTTATAGAAAAAGATACACAGTTAATGAGATGTCAGGCTGTTAAAACCTTAAAGTTATAAAACAAGTTACCTTAAATGATGATATGGTTCAGCCCACAAGCAGGATACTTTCTTTATACAGCACCAATAAATGTTATTGATGATATGTTAGCTATTTATCCCTGCATATCAAATAACTCCAAAACTTAGTGGCTTAAAACAATAAAAACCATATATTATCTCTCACAATTTCTGTGAGTCAGGAGTTTAAGAGCAGCTCAATTAGACATTCGTATTTCAGTCTCCTAAAGTTGCAGTCAGATATTGACTAGGGCTGTTATCATCTGAAGACTTGTTTGTAGCTGGAGAATCCACTTACAAGGTGGCTCTCTCACATGTCTGGTGAGTTAGTTGGCTTACCAGACATTTGCTATGGAACAACCTCTTTCAATTCCTTTTCAGATTTTTTGCTAAAAATACCGTACAGTTAGCAATGTATTATGTAGCCCTGTAGCACCCAACTTTTAACTAAATATTGGATTGTCCAAAAAGTTTGTTTGTTTTTTTCTGTAAAATAGAAGACACATTTTTCATTTTCTCCAATAACTTTATTGATTTGGATAGTTTGAGTATGTCGGCTAACTCCTGGTATTGGCTGCTAGTGGGTAGAGGCCCGGGGTGCTGCTAAACATCTTCCAATGCATAAGACACCCCCACAGCAAAGAATTACTTGGCCAAAATGTCAATAGTACCAAGAAACTTTGTAAACCCCTTTTGACACACTTGATCAGTCACAGCACCTTCTCCATATGCTACACAAATCTTTTTTTTTGTGTTTCAGTTGTGTTTTAACTTTTCTTGAAATAATAAAGCATATCTAAAATGTGCCTTTTCTTCCATCATTAATATTAAAATGGCTGCACAAAAATTCACCAATTTTTTTCTTTCTCACTTTATTACATATTTTATTAAATATTTGATTATCATTCTGATAACGTTGTCCCAGTTTTTCCCCTTTTGCCCTCCTCTGCCCAGCCCACCACCACTCCTATAGTCAATCCCCATCCTGTTGTTATGTCTGTGAGTCATTTCATGCATGTTCCCTGACTTGTCCCTTCCCCTTCTTTCCACCCTTATCCCCCTGCCCCCTCTCCTCTGGTCACTGTCAGTTTGTTCTTTATTTCCATGTCTTTGGTTCTATTTTCCTTGCTTGTTTGTTTTTTTGATTAGGTTCCACTTATAGGTGAGATCATAATGGTATTTGTCTTTTACTGCCTGGCTTATTTCACTTAGCATAAGGCTCTCCAGTTCCATCCATGCTGTCACAAAGGGTAAGAGTTCCTTCTTTCTGCTGTGTGATATTCCATTGTGTAAATGTACCACAGTTGTTTTTTTCATCCACTCATTTACTGATGAGCACTTAGACTGTTTCCAGCACTTGGCTATTGTAAATAACACCACTATGAACATAGGGGTACATAAGTTCTTAGGAAATGGTGTTTCAGGAGTCTTACAGTATATTCCCAGAAGTAGAATTGCTGGGTGAAAAGGCAGTTCCATTTTTAATTTTTCAAGGAAATTCCATACTGTTTTCCACAGTGGCTGCACCAGTCTACATTCCCACCAACATTGTACTAGCGTTCCCTTTTCTCCACATTCTCATCAGCGCTTGTTTGTTGATTTATTAATGATGGCCATCCTGATTGGTATGAGGTGATATCTCATTGTGGTTTTAATCTGCATCTCTCTAATAGCTAATGATGCTAAGTATCCTTTCATATGTCTGTGGGTGATCTGTATGTCCTTCTTGGAGAAGTGTCTATTCAGATCCTTTGCCCAGTTTTTTTGACTGGATTGTTTGATTTCCAGGTGTTAAGTAGTATCAGTTCTTTATATATTTTGGAGATCAAACCCTTGTCTGGGTATCACTGGCAAATATGTTTTCTCATACAATGAGTTCCCTTTTCATTTTGATGGTTTTGTTAGCCGTGCAGAAGCTTTTTAGTTTGATATAGTCCCATTTTTTATTTTTTCATTTACCTCCCTTACTCTAAGAGGTATATTGGCAAAAATATAACTGTGTGGGATATCTGAAATTTTACTGCCTATGTTTTCCTCTAGGATGTTTATGGTATCATGACTTATATTTGTCTTTTATCCCTTTTGAGTTTATTCTGGTGTATGATGTAAGTTGGTGGTCTAGTTTCATTTTTTTTTGCATGATCCAGTGAAATTTTCGCACCACCATTTATTGAGGAAGCTATTTTTACTCCATTGTATGCTTGTGTCCCCTTTGTCAACTACTAATTGACCATAGAGACATTGGTTTATTTCTGGGCTCTCTATTCTGTTCCATTGACCTATGTGTCTGTTCTTATGCCAGTACCAGACCATTCTGATTACAGTGGCCTTGTAGTGTAGTTTGATATCAAGTATTGTGACCCCTATTTGTTCTTCTTTCTCAAGATAGCTGAGGCTAATTATGGTCATTTTGGGTTCCATATAAATTTTTGAAATATTTGTTCTAGATCTGTAAAATATGCCATTGGCATTTTAATAGGAATTGCATTGAATCTATAGATTGCTTTGGGTTGGGGAGATATGGACATTTTAATGATGTTTATTCTTCCAATCCATGAA